CGAAATAGCTGAGCCATTACTGTAACTGTGATTTATGTTTACCACCCCCCCCCCACCCCGAAAAAGAAAAGAAAAGCCTTCTTATACTTTGTTAGTCATTATCTTACTAACTGCCAAGCAAACGTAACTGATGTGTTTGAAGAAATCCAAAAACCACACGTCGACTGGAGTTGTTTTATTCCGTAGATGACACAGTAAAAACTTGGAGAAATATCGTTAGCCGTGAAGTACAAACAAGATCGAGATGAGACCAATGTTTAATGACCAAAAATAAAAATAGAAAGTCGTTAATTGTTAAAGTTTACAACAACACGAAACGATGAGAAGAACGGTTTTTGATTTTTAACAGCTTTGTACATTTCTTCGGCAAAACGACTAACTTATTTCTATTTGTTAAAACGGGTGTGCATAATATTGTTAGTAATGTCAGTTGAAACCACTGTCGTGTTTTGTAGATCAATCTGGCGGAAGAATTCCAAATTTATTTAATTACTATAAAAATTAAAGTGCACTTATTTTTGCGGCTTGTTCGTAGTGAATGGGAAAATCGTTACTGAATCAAATTCAGTGGTATTCTTGAATAATATATGATCATATGAATAAGTTGAAAATGTGATTTATAGAACAAGTCTTAAACGTTCTGCACTTCACGAAGAAACGAGTCTTCCAAAATTTCAAAAATAAAACAGACTGTTTTCCATGACAAAATTCAGTACATTATGAAGCTAAGCCTAGTATAATACAATTCTGTGAGAATCGACGTATCAATATTTGCGGAGGTTTCTACTGCTATGGTCCAGTACAGTCGTTATAAAGCTAAGCCTGATATGGTAGGGTTATGTACACAAATAACTGCAACCATCATCGATATACACTTGAAGTGTAACGATAAAAAAAAAGTATGTTTTTGAAGTATATATATAGTTAGAGTAGGTACTTTTGAAATTTTGTTTTGTTTTGTTTGGAATTAAGCACAATGCCACACACTGAGCTATCTGTGCGCTGTCCACCACGGGTATCGAAACCCGGTTTCTAGCTTTGTAAGTCCACAGACATCCCGCTGTGTCACTGGGGGGCAATGTTTATATAGTCAGATTAAGTTTTTGAAGTATAAATGATCAAAGTAGTTGATCCTCGAAAAATCTGGCCAGCTATGAGTGAAAATGCGAAAGACGTCAGCGAATTAGTCGTATAGAAAGTTTTATTGAACGGGTTGCAGTAAACCTAGAAACAACCGACAGAAGAGAGAGTGTATGTGTGTGTGTGTGTGTGTGTGTGTGTGAACCCCGTGAAACCGCAGAAGAGCGCCGCTACTCGTTAAAATGAAGCTCCGCTTTAAGGTTTGCAGCGGTTTGGGAACAAACTGGGATGTGATACGGAATGTTGCAGTTTGTTTTAAGATTTAAAACCTATAATCACAATATTAATATTTTCATTCACTAGTTATTTACCGTTAAGATCTTTGTCATTAGAAGAAAAATTAAATATCACTTTGTGATAAATACTTCGCTAATCGCTTTAATAACAGTTGTAAAAACTAGCATACACCTCTAAACCTTAGCTTTCAAAAAATATTTTTAAATTTTGAATATTATTCTCTCATTCCTTACTCAGCCCCAAACAATATGTTTTTCAAGTACAGTTGTGATGGTAATATATATATATATATATATTGACAGATTTAAGTAATTAATTGAATAATCTTAGCTTTAGGTTAGATTTTAGTATTAAATATATCTTTTTTGAAGTGTTATACTTTACAGCAGATTATACACACTTATTTAAAGCCAAAATGAGTAATGTATAGAAACTTGTAGATATGTACAGTGATAATAGTATAATGATAGAGGTTGGATCCTGGTAGAACTCTGAATTTCGAAGTTGGCGAGTCCCGGTTCGAATCAGTACAATACCACAAATGATACCCCACATTTTAAGCTGTGTAAGCGTTGTAAGAGTGATAGTTACTGACTGGCTGTCTTCTCTTTGGTCAGCAGTTCAAAGTTAGGGACTACGGCATATAGCCTTAGTACCTTTACCATATATACAAATAACATATACCCTTTTAAGAAGTATATGGTATTTTTAACGACCATTTCATTACAAATTGGATATATTTGTATATATGTGAGGCATGAATAACAAAAAAAAAACAAACAAAAAAAAAACATTTCCAATATTTTACTTTTCACTGCCACGTTTCCATCGTGGTTTTATAAAACATTTCCAATATTTTACTTTTCACTGCCACGTTTCCATCGTGGTTTTATAAAACATTTCCAATATTTTACTTTCCACTGCCAAGTTTCCATCGTGGTTTTATAAAACATTTCCAATATTTTACTTTCCACTGCCAAGTTTCCATCGTAGTTTTATATATATTTCTTTAATTTTGTGAAACTAACATGTTCTTATGTATAACGTTTACAGACTTTGGATTACGAACTCAATAGCAATACAAAACAATCATATTTTGTATTCACCTTTTCACACTGTAAATTTCAACGACGTTTATAGACATTATCTATTAAGTTCTCGATGTTTTTAAACTTCCAAGGATATGGTGGTTGTACGTTTTTTAACTATCTGTCTGAATGTTATACAAAAATAAGTAATCTGTATACATCCGACTAGTCTGTGACGGAATAAAACTTAAGTCCTGTAAACTATATAGAGAAAAGTACTGTCACAATCATTTGGTATTTTTAGTATTGTTAGACGTCATAGTTCAAAACAAAATGTGAGTCTTGAATTCATTCCAAAAAAACAATAAAGCCAAACATACCCGGATGTATCATGTCTTTACTTGTGAATTATTATGACTATTTATACACACATAACTATATGTTGCTTTGGTTTATATAAATTATATTTTTTTTTCGTACATAGAAACTGTTTGACACCAAAGGGATCCAATCATCAGTAAATATACAATTACTTTGATAGCATAAGTGAACTTCTAAATACCTTCAGAAAAACAAACACACAAACAACAACAAAAGCATTTGACTGGTAGTGTTTTTCTGAAGTTGGTGATACCAGGGGCTCACTCCGCCATCCAAACGATTAGTTCGCTAATCACACAACACTAGTGCTAGGCTATTGCTCTCTGAATTTACTTCAGGCCTAAGCCTACTCCACAGTTAAATTGACTACCCGCACCTGCTTTGCACGCACTGTTGCCTGCCTTGTATTTTGTTGTGTTTGTAATTAGGCTTTATAAGTATTACATTTACTCAGGATAGCTTATCCAGCTTTATTTTAATTAGAGGATGATCGTTTACATATTAAAAATTCTCCCCTTAAACACAGTTATTATGGTGATAGTAGTCTTCCTTTTAAACATCATTATGTTGATATTAGTTTTATTACTGGAACAAAAACTTAATAAAGTTTGGCTCAGAATCACAAAACAACCGACTCAAAAACAAAAAAAGGGTAAGAAAAAAAATACAAAAAAGAGTACATAACGGTCATGACGTTAACTCGCTGTGTGTTGTAAAACTAATTATCGTTGCTTAACGAGGCAGAAAACTTCAGAGATTTTTATAAGCTG